CCACTCCTTTTCTTTGATGTTGTGTTTTTTCTTTCGCATATAGGAGTAATATATGAGCTTTCGTCCTGCCTCTTTTAGGGTTACATATGTGCATATATGCACACATATTCTATTTTGTCACATAACTGCATACTGTGTGTAGGTTGTCTGAAGAGGAAAAAACGAAAGAAGAAAAAAAAGAAGGAATACGCATACTTATTCATACACAAGAAGCAATCATAATATCATTATGGTTATTGTTATGATGTTATGATGTAAGAAAAAGTAATATATTCCTTTACATCGCCTCCGCACTCGCCCTCACTCACATTTCTTCTCCTCCCCCGCCCCCCCCCCGCTGTCCACCTTCAAGGGGGGGCACTATCATAATTGTGACTGTGTTCCTCTTTTTTCTCTCCTCTTTCTTCTCCCTCATACAATTCTATCTACATTTCCTTTTTTCTTTTGAATGTTTCAAAAATAAATGAAATAACGGAAATTACATAACATTAATAATAAAGACTAATAGTATAGCGTAGTACTAATACACAAACCATCAGGGGTCTATGTGTAACAATACAGTAAAGGAGAGAAATGTAGGCACAGAAAGAGACTGGCAAAAAGAAAAAAAAGATGAAGAGGAGGAAGGGATTAAGCATAGGATTAATATGATTTATTCAATATTTGGTTTCTCCTCTCCTCTATCCTTCGATAGACAAACTTTGTTTGTGCGATCTCTGTTGATATTCCCTTTTTATTATTATTATTATCATCATTTTGGAGCATAATGCCCAATCTACAATGTGACGATAGGGGATCAAAGGAAAAAGGGAAGTAGAATATAAAAGAGCAATAACAATAATAACAAATACTAATATGAATAGTAATCATTGTATAATTTGATTATTTAACCTTACGGTTGACTGGATTAACATGCGTTAAGCCATTTTCTCTCCTTGCTCGCTTTTCTACTTTTGGACTTCTTTTTGAGCTTGTTTCCTTGCGCTTATTTTGTTTTTTTATATAAGAAGAAAAGAGTTTATGCCTTTTTTCTTTTTCAGTGTTAATTTATTAAGTGGGATAATAAAGTTTCTGTAGGTATTTTTCTGTTATTCTCTCCCGGTCTCTTTATCTCTCTTAGGGAGTGTATCTTGCTTTAAATTAATTAACTAAATGAGTATAGTTATAGGTAGGTATTTGTGAATTATGCAGTAATATCTATCAATCGGATTAACAATGATAATATTAATAATCAAAGAAGTTAGAATTCTGTTTAATGCTTTTGTTAGAGTAATTTCTGTTCATTCGGTTGGACTTTTTTGAAGACATTGCCTTCTCAGACATTTTCTTAATCTCAGTCAAGATTTTATGATGTATTTCTCCTGTATACTTCCGTTCATTCTAGTTTTTTTTCTTTACCCTACCTTTGTGTGCTATATGGGAGTGTGTCGACTTGAACCATTACACTTCTATGAAAAGTTCTACATTACAGGATTTCATCATGAGCTGAAATTAGTTAGAGAACTATTGGAAAACCTGCAGGGAGTACTGGACAGTTGTTTCGTCCTAGTTTGGGATCCTTCAGCAGTACGCACCCACCGGGATTCGAACCTAGGACCTTCTAGTTACAAGGCGAGCTCGTATACCATTAAACCACTGAGACCCGATCCAATGGTCCTTGAATTCTAACTTCTGCCAATTCACGACATTAGATTTCCTGATGAATTGACACCATTTAGACAGCTGTGTTATTATCCTATCCTATTTTAGGACTCTTCAGTATTATGTACGCATGTGTCTTTAACACTGAGGGATTGCATAGTAAATTTGCTCGCTACTCAATATGGAAGTCGGCGAAGTTAAACTTTAAGCACCACTAACAACTACCAATGGAGTGCAACCGCATCAGTGACCTTGAAACGCATACTGAGCAAGTTAGCGAAATCTGGCAAGTAATGTTGTTATCATCAATAAAATATTCTCATCGAAGTGTTATGTTATTAAATGGAATATCTTGGAAGTTCTAGCTTAAGTTTGGGAAAGACTAAGTTACTCTTTAAGCCAAGGACAAGTTAGGGTTAGGTTAACCTAATAAAGGCGACATTAGGGTTGGTTGGAGTTAGATTACAGTTAGTTCAGGGAAGAGTAGGATTATTGTTAGGGTTAGAAGACCTAAATAATTACTTGCATAGAATGTGGCTGAATTTCTCTGTTGATATATGACTAGAACTTGTGCGCTGTGTCAGAGTATGATTCCATTGTGGGTAAAATTTATTTTGATAAAGTTTCACAGTGTCATACAGTAATATTTACTGATGATGACGTTTCGAGTACAATTTATTGCCCAGTAAATATTACTGTTTAACACTGTCAGACTTTATCAAAATAAATTTTACCCACAATGGAATTATACTCTGTTGATACTCTAACCTAAAACTATGAGCTATTTTTATCACATATGAGAGGAAGATATCCTCTGTAACAATTTTATACAGTTTTTATGCATTTCATACACAATAGTGATTCCTTCACGTGATTGGTGCATTCGAGGTCACTTGCTGATTGTTAGTTGGTGGTGAATAAAGTTTAACTTTACCCAGAAGTCTTGGTTTCAATAGCAGATGAAGTTATAACTTTGCACTGGTGAGCATCCTACACTAGGATGTAACAACTCACAGTGAATCCTTCAATTTTATAATGAGTATAATTCATATTCCTCATTGATTGATTTATATTGAACTGAAATGGTCAGTCTCTTTTGACATGTTGACTCAATACACGAACGCTCTGACGACGTCTATAGGTTAAAATGATGTTGTTTTTGGCTGACGGTATTTAGAAGTGAAATCCAGGATTTGCATTTCGCCCCTTATAGGACTCTTCGTCTGTACGCTTAGTTTGCAAAACCGTGTATTCTAGTGGCATTTTGAACAAAACGAAAATAAGTTCAAAAAACAAAATCAGTGGTGGATGAATTCCCATGAGCTTTCATTTCCTGCTCACATGACCTCCTCCATGTAACCCTCTGATGTGCAACTCATCGTTTCCCGTTCGGGTTCCACTGGAAGGCTTGTTGGCGCATGATGTCATTAAACAGTCTCCTCAGCAACGTTAATCTCCTCAGCATATATCCAATTCATCTCTACTTCCTTTTGCATGCTCGCTGAGCGATAAATTTTTGGTTAGTTCGCTGCCATGCTTCGTTGTTTTTTATCCTTTTCAACTGGTAATCTGAGGTTTCGTCTGGATGAATGCGTAAAATGATATACAATAATAGTAAAATTTAAAAAATTCTACAATTTATCTCCAATTTGCACAAAGTATTCATGTCCTGTTTCTTACTGTATATTTCTCTTTTGCTTCTTCTTTCTGTTCATCTTATGCTTTCTATATCCATTCATGTTCTTTTCGAGTACTTTTCAGAAAACGTTAGGCAATATACTACTTAGAACTTCTTGTCAGTAGCTCACGCTATAACAAAAGTTAAATAACTGAGGAATTTCCCCATCAAAAAACAAAATAAAATAAACAACAAACAAATAAACTCATATTACATACATAGCTCTATTACCTGTTAATCCGTTTGCACTGTTCTAATATCTTTCTCACAAATATATTCAACTGGGATTATAAATTTAATTATGAACTGAACAGTTATCAACACCGGGTAGAATAGAATTTCCATTATAAAAAAAAGGAGAATGAACGATTAAGGATTGAAAAATAATTTGGAGCTAACATTATCCAGCACGATGATTGGTTGCTATTCATCGAATATACTGGGATAATTGTGTGCAAAATTTCACTCATTCAAAGTTTTACAACTGTTTATATTTCACTCGTAAAATAATTTGTTTATGATGAATAATACAGTTATGGATTTTCAGGTGTCGGGTTTGTGGGAGCGGGGGAGGGGGGAGAGCAGATTTGATTGATTTCAAGGCGGATTTTTTTTCATGAACGTAGCTACATCAGCCAAATTCGCACAGACCTAACACATATAAGTAAATATATTACCTATTAGTGATTCGCAAAATGACAGACTTCGTGAGGTGACTGGTGACATCCATCATCAAATCGAGTAGGGTGGCAAATACTCATCACTGAGGCTGGATGGGGTGACAGAAGGTAGAATTTGTTGTCCAGCGGATTCCTACTCATTGGTTGAATATAATATGCTTACCTAGTAACCCGAAAGTGTTAAGTTCTATCTCTGGTGCGTTAGGTAGGGTGTACTGCTGAATAGTGTGCGTCGTTGGCACAGCGGTTAGGACTCTCGCCGACCAAGCACATGGTTCGAGGTTCGACTCCCTGCCGAGGCACACCTGATATCAATGGTCGGTCTGAAAATTCCATACTTGTACCAAAAATACGGTGTGGAACCAAGCTATAATTATATATATATATATATATATATATATGTATCTAGAAATACCTAATTCAATGCTCCGTGGTTCTGTCCTCATATCCTACTTGGTGAACCCCAATAATCACTACTTCTCATCAGAACTCTAGGAAATTTATTTCGTAGTTACCCGACTAATAAGCAGTCAATGAATGACTTATTGAATGTGGAATCAATCCTGTGGTTTTCAATGGTTTTCCAACTAAAGTTAGGATTATTAATGAACCAGGATTTGGAATAGCCCAGCAGCATGTCTTATACCTCTAAACTATTAGTAAAAAAGTTAATGACTAAACAGCTATTACTTGGCAACTTATTTACAATACTCCCCGAGTTTATCACTTTTGTTTCCTTACCAGGACATACATACAGTTAACTGCTACTTCGACTGACTGAATTTGCCTGTTTACTTGTACAGTAGAACGGTCATTATTTTTGTCAACCCTCATTCTTAGATAACTGTTTACGAATTGTAATCATTTTAAATTTAAAAGTGACATGCGCTTCATGACACTTGCCTTATCTTTTAATCCGAAAAATAAAGAAACGACGTACTGTCTGATCCATTTTCTCACTTCATTCTTCTTTTTTTTCAATATATTTTTTTACTATTCAGAATGGCGGACGTCCTGGCAGTCTACACGGGATTTCAATGATTGCACAAAGTCCTGTTCATAATGATGTGAATTTAATGTCAACTAATTCTGGTATTGATGTCCAGCATATACCTGGACCATATTGGAGTACACATAATCTACAAAGCGATATAATTACACGATCAAATAATCCATTATATCGATCACATAGTCCTTCCAATTTATTGATAAGCCAATCAAATAAATTGATGCGACAATCAATTGAAAATATGTCGTCTACATCATCATCCTCACCACCACCACCACCACCACTACCGCCGATGCCACCAAATTCATTGATGAATAATTATCATACGAATTCATTGAATGATGCAATGATCAATTATTCAACTGGTTGTTTAATAAATCCAGCACTGACAAATGTCATACCCTTGCAGCCACCACCACCTCCACCCACACTGCCACTGCCACCTTCGGTATCGTCATCCACATCCTCTTCCTCATCATCATCATCATTATTAACAGGAATCCCCTCAATGTGTACTTCATCCACTCCATCTTGTATATCATTGTCATTAACATCAACATCGCCCACATCGCTGCAAACATTTAATAATTTTATGATGAATACACCATCATCAAGCCTGATGATAACAAATGATACCTCATTATCGACAAATCTGTCACGATGTAATAATTTATTAATGATGCCCTCAAATACTGTTACTACTAATAATGTTAATACTACTAATTACACTCATAATAGTAATAATATTAACAATAATAATAATAATAGTAATGGTGGTAATGGTACAAATACAAATCAATCAGATTTCCTGAATGAACGTTCAGCAGGAGCAACAGCAACAGCAGCAGCACCCCCACCCCCACCACCATTTCAACATTTAGTGAGAATATTTTAAACTGATTTCCCCCCTCGCCCCACCCCCACACACACATAAAAGAAAGTGATGCAATACTCTGCTTTACTCGAGTTCGCCGAATAAATGATTAACACAACTGGCTGTTATCATTGATAGAAACTTACATATGCGTATGGGGACTCACGTGTACGCATATACGAGTACACTAGTATACGCTACTATACTACATATATTTAAGTGAATGCATTTAAACACTTGATTATTAAACTTAAATAACTTTAAAAATAAAGAAATAATAAAGAACTTCTTTGTTGTTAAGATACATTTCAATATATTGAATTTTATCAGTCTGTCTCTCTCTCTCTATCCCTTTCTATATATATACATAAAGTTATATAATTTAATTCTACTATTCTTATAACAGACAGTACTGTTTCTTTATCTTTCTTTAATGTCTTTTTGTAAAAAAGAATATTACTCAGTTTAGTTGTTTGTTAATTAGTACGACAATTATCGTGTGTACAAAGTATATTTAATGATGACAGTAATAATAATAATAATAATAATTATAATAATAAGACAGTTATTGTATAATTTTGATTGGTGGAGACTAACACTGGAATCCACATTGCACATTTGGTTCTATATATATAGGGACCTTTTGGGTTGGTTGTACCGGTGTGCTAGTAAATGACAGTCTTCCCATTTAAGACTCGACTCGAGTAGTCATCATTTCAAGCCCCAAAGTGCCCTACACTAAAAAACTGGATGGTGACAGCCACTTTTTGTGTAACGGGTACACTACCACTAATAATAACAATAATTTTCAAATATCAATTATTATTATTATTGCTCCCTTGGGTTCCTAGTGGAACATAGGGCTTCAACTGCACGTCTCCCTCCACTTGCCACTTCTGTCTTCCTTTTGCTGTACTTTTCACCTACATCCATGTGAGTCCATTCTCTTTCAACTCCTCTACACACGATCTCACCCATGTCACCCACCCTTGCACTGACGTCCCACTCGCCGATTGCTTCCCTTTCGGCCTGGTTCCACTCGAGAAATCGCCTGACGCGCGCGCCATGTCACCCACTGGCGGCCTCCTCAGCGAGCGAGTGTCCAATCCATCTCCACTTTCTCCTGCATATTTGTTGGTTGGCGATTGGTTCTTGTTTTGTTCTGTTTGTCCCCATAGTTTCTTGTTGGTGATTGTTTCCTGCCCAGCCATCTGATCTTCAGTATAGAGCCAGCGAAGACAGTTAATTGTTGATAAATGTCTGCAACTGGCAGTTGGAAATATTCTTTGTGACTCGCCCACCAAGTTTCTGACCCTATCCATATAGAAGAAGTGACTGACTTGACGTTTGTGGGGGTGTAATCAGTTTAGAGTTTGATTAGATATTGATTTCACTGAAAACCATTAACGACCGTTTCTTCCTAGCTTGAGACTCTTCAACAATAAGCATCCATAACTTTACCGGGTATTGAGTCAAATGTAGGAGCAAATACTCGCTGTTGACACTGGGTGGCTATCGCACAAAACATCGTGAACTGATAGAAGTTAGAAATCACTAGCCATTGTGTTCCCTCTCAGTGGCTGAGTCGCCGACGAGATGCCTTGTAAAATGAAGGTTCTTGTTTCGATCCCTGATAGGGTCATGGTTATTTACTGATGAAGAGTCACAAGTGGGGATGAAACAGCTGTTCAGTACTCTTTCTTAATGACATCAATTCGTAATCAAACTTGAAATGATAATAGTAAAAAAACAGCTTTATTCTAGACAGTAAGTGAACACACAATACAAAGTTCCCAGCATATTCAGATTGCGAAAAAGTAAAATAGTAACCGATGGAATATTAAATAACACCATATTGTTTCATCTGAAGCAAGATCCAATGATGTACAACATTTTTCTTCTAAATCCTTGAGGAAGCGAACACCACTTCTTTGAAGGTTAATTAAAAATTTTCACCAGTCATTTTAGTGATCCAAAGATACAATCGGATGACTGAAACCCCAAAATATGGAGAAGAGTTGATACATTACGTTTGATGAAAATTTCAGTAGCCAGGTGATTTCAGCAGACTGACTGATTGATTATACTGGACTAAAATACTCAATTCGATGTGCCAAAAGAGGGTGAGCACTTCGATCCTGTATAATCAGCTAACAGGGAATTAAAAGTAAAAATTTCATTATAATTATAGTGTTTCTAAGATAGAATGTTTAGATGGGGCTATTACTTTACAGAATGAAAGGTAGAACTGACCAAATAATTTAACCTTTCCTATATGGTACAGTGGAACTTTTTAACTGTTAAGACGCTCGATTTATTGATTATATTTGGGATGCTTAGAGTAGCTGAAAGATTACAGCCAGGTGAGAAAAGAGATGGAAATAATTTCTGTAGTTGAGGTTTCTGTTGATAAGCGTTAGAATTCATGGGTCACTAAACTCCAATCCAATGACTGAGTGTTCAAATGACTGACCTCACAATATGAAAGTTGCGGATTCTATCTCTGCTGAAGTCAGCTAGCTACTGTTGATGTGACTATTCCATATCCGGTAGTGGATGTGAAATGATTTTTGCTGGAGAGATTAAACTGATCATAGGATTTGGTTGTTTATTGCAGTGGCGAATACGCAAGCGTAGATTAGACAGTCACAACAAGGCACTAATGCATTATCCAAGGATAAGGAGAGTGTTCAAATGTCTAAAAAGTACAAATAGATTAAACTGTTACCTTATGAGAACATGAGGTATTGAATGATAGGTCTCCGGACAATACTTGTTGGGCCCACTGATGAATAATAAATCCAATAAAAACCGATGACTTTCTCTGGGGTTACGGGAATTCATTACTAATAAGTGTTAAGTAGCACAGTATTGCTCCTGTGGTATGTGTACTAGGTGTTACTGAACCAAAAATTTCACTCTTTCAGATTTTCTGCTGATCCATCCAAGTATTTAACATAGTTTTATGTATCACTAAAGTTTATCGTACACTGTAACCATTTTAATGTACACATCTGAAAAGTGTTAGAAGTGCATAGTAGCGACAGCAGAACAAATGTGAAGTTGGCAAAACAAATGAACCAAATGAATGTCTGTCTTTTGGTCGAATTGTAATGTATTTGCAATAAGAGCTGTCTGTTGATGTCTTGATCACACAGTGAGCCACGAAAGTATACTGTTAACTATTCATAAACTAAGAGGAATCAGCTCTCCAGTGCTCATATACTCCACTCGGAACGTCAAGAATACTACTACTACTATGACTACTGTCACGTGATGCAGATTGATGGGAAGCTGCCGAAATTGGAATCAACATTTTGATTCAATGGCTGCAAAGGTTTACGTTATGGACATGAGATAAATGCATTGGACAACTTTTTTAACCATGGGCCAACTGCCAACCAACCACTCAGAAAGACTTATTCCCCTGTGACGTAGCAGAACTTTAGTAGAGCTAATGATGTGTAAATATGTGTATTTCCTTACTGTAGGTCCGTTACCACTTCTCTTATCTTGTCCTGTCACACTATTATTGTGGTACCTATTACTGATAAGGAAATTTTAGTAGCATAAAGTATATTGTTATAGGTAAAAGTCATGATGAGACGGATGACCTGTAGAATTTCAGACACTCGTATGTAGGAAATTGATCACTGATGTAATAAGCATGGGACAGAAAGGAAAAAGAAACCTGGAGACAAATACAGGGGGAACAGATTGCAAATAGAGAATTTCTCTAAAGCTGTATCAATCACTCTCCTGTTTAAAACCTTTACGGAGGTCAACACGTTATGTACTACTTTGAGATTCCCTACTACTCATAACTACAATTACGGATACTACTAATACTACTGTGTCTACTAACACTGTGAAGGACATGCCTCTAGTGGCCACTATTTCACTAGGACCTTTACGTATACATTCATAGGTATGTAAATAGAAAATTTCATATTATTTCTTTAGATGAATTAACCAGTAAAAATACTATTTACCTATAAATAAAAAAATTGTGAATTCATTGTTCAATAAGTAGGTGTATTAGTATGTATTGAATGAACGAAGCAAATGAAAAAAAGCCGAAGCAAGAGGGAGAGGAACAGAGAGATGGAGACATAGAGTGAGTGATAGAATGTAGGACAGTATTCATCATCCAGTAAGGCTGTTTGTGAAAGGGATAGCACAAGAGAAATAAATAATTGTGTAAATGATTTCCGTTTCCAGTTTTCTACAAATTTTTTCTTACCCTTTTAAAAGGAATACATCAATAATGTAATGAAGATTGAAAAAGTCAATTCATCACTAAACTAAAGAGACGATAATTTAGTTTTAGTGGAGTAAATTAGGGTGAAAATCGAATCCAAATACTAGCATGCACTACAAAGTTATTTTTCTTAGAGTAGTTGTCATCTTGTTCACTGAAAAACTGTAAGTGTTCGATTTACTGCCTGTCGGTAACAGTAGACAAAGTTGTCTGATTCGAGACCCTTTGTAATCCACTGAAGTTTTAATTATCATCCTATCGTATTATTTTTATTATTATTATTATATCCTTTAATTCCTAGAGGAACATAGGGCTTCAATCGCGCGTCTCCATTGCGTTCGGTTATCTGCCAATGTTTTCACGTGGCTCCACATTTGTCCACCTGCCTTTATCTTCTCTCCACATGACCTCCTCCATGTCATCATCGCATTGACGACTAACTCGCCGCTTCCCTTTCAGGTTCCACTCGAGCAATGGCTTGTCTAGTGATGTCACTTGATGGTTTGTTTCCTCAGAGTATGCCCAATCCATCTCAATTTCTTACTGCTTATTTGTTGCACAATCGGTCCTGGCTGGGTTGGTTCGTTCCCAGAGGTCCCTATTGCTGATATTTTCTGGCCGGTCATCTGATCTTGAGTATTGAGCGAAGACAGCTGCCAATGAAGGTCTGTAGTTTGTTTGAGGTGCTCTTCATGACGCACCAAGTTTCTGGTCCATATATTAAGCAACACTGATTTCACATTGGAGTTGAAAATCCGGATGTTATTTTTGATGCTGAGCAGGACTGTTGACCTCCACACAGACTTGAAAGGAATGAATGTTTGCCTTGCTTCCCCGATTATTCTCGCTTTGATATCCTCGTCAGTTCCGTCCACATGTAGTTAAGACGATGCTTCTCAGGTAGGTAGGTAGGTAAACGAGGTTACTTCTTCCAGATTTCTCCCATTTATGCTGATTGTTGTTTGTTGTTGTTGCTGTTGACCAGGAAATCGTATTAATACTAGTCAGTAAAATATTCTGTAATTTGTATTCTGTGAACTGTGTGAAGTGAGCTATTGAAATTCTCCATAAATACAATTGTCGTCTTTCCTAATAATCCTAATTACTATTGGCCATTTTGAATAACACTAAACCACCGCATGAAAGGTACAAACTTAATATTATTTAGATTGTAAATTTTTCTGATGATCTGGATTAATCTTAATGCAGATTTAGTTTCGTAACTAACAGAAGTTAGAGAGTTAAAGTACGGTCGT